GATTGTCTAGAAAATGTGGGAGCCTCGACGTCTCATAGCCGTATGAGCCTCCACGGCCTGTTAGAGAGATACCGTTACTTTTTTATATTTATACCTCTTGCAAAAAATCTGTGAACGAAACTTAATTTTAGACTACATTCAGGTACAGAACTGCCACATTACATTTTGACGTAAATATATTAAAATGGCGCTGTCATCTGGGTTCTGATGCCGTGTAGTCTCGTAGGAGTTCCCCAACATTTTGAATACCTGCATCTTAAGGGTCGAGGAGTGAGTTTGCTAATGGCTTGTTGCTTGCTTAGCATTATCTTCGACCCTGAAGATGGAGGCACTACGATATTCCGAAACGGCTTTGGCTTTCGACCGGACTACACGGCGTCACATTCCAGAACATAGTGCTCTTCATAATCACCGCTGCGAGAACATCAGATTCAAAGTAACTACATTTTTATTTGTAAGTAAAAGTAAAGCTGTCCCCGAGCTTTATTAATTAAGACGTGTTGGGGAGTGGAGGTATCGCTCCACCATTCTTTACCCAGGCACTAGCTAGAGGTGAGTGGCTAGCTTCGCGCCCAGGCCACTTTACCCCAGTGGAAAGAACTTCCGCTGCCTATTGAGTAGGAGACTGCGTGGGCAGCAGAGCCGGTCTGGACGCTGTGGAGAAAAGTCTCTTGCCCCTTCCGAGAATTGAACGTCGGTGTGCCCAGCCGGCAATCCATCGTTATATCCGCTGCATTATATCGACTGTACCTAAGTAACGCGACCCTTAAACATATCCAAACGGAAAATGTGACGGGATTTTAGTGCAGGTTTACCGTGCCGCATCTGGTTGTTGTCATCAGATAGTTCGGGCGCTGCTACTTGCGGACGGACGGACAAGAGGAAATTAACAGGCGGTTCTGAAGTGCACCTAACAAGATCCGTGAATCTGGCTTGATACTAACGGCCCTCTCTTGCGCCGTAACAAGCGTGCAGACGGGAAATGGTGACGCAGGTGCCCCCGACCTCTCCCAAAGCAAAGTGTCCCGTGACGTTCTGGTCCTGTGGAGGTGTGATCACTCGCTGCTGTGCGAGGGCACACTTGTGTGGGAATTAGTGCATCGTTCTTTGGCCAAACGGGATAAATATGCATATTGAAGTGATAATTCGAAATAATTCTGTGGTAACAGGGTGTCCCATCCGTGGCTTCTGTCAGCGCTTAAAGAGTTCCCTGTCACGGAACTCGAAGGCTGCTTGATCATAACCAAATTCCAATATTACAAGTCAAGATGCAGTTTTGTCAGCCTGAAATTCTTTCTTTGTTTACCCGTGCGGCGTTGGTGACTTCCTGGCCATTGCATTTACATGCCAGTTTCGCCTCGAAATATTCTGCGCTGTGGTGAAGCCAAATTCGCTTAGGAAACACAGAATTAGGGCCCATTTGCACATTGTAACCCTGTAATGTCATCTGGAGCCGTGTTTTGACAACGTAATCATCTCTGAAATCCTCTTGGCCTTAAACAGGAGTCACGAATGCAACATTGTACCCTGCATAATCCATAGGACTTCGCCAACCTATGAAATAAGAAGGCGAAAATTTAAAATTTAAAATAATTTACTGTATTATACCTAAATTAACAGCAGGAAGGTACCGAGCAGATTGGCATAGAGGTAACGCTTTGGGTAGGCCGCACACCGGCATGCGTCAAGACACGATGTCTGCGACATGACACAAAGAAAGAAGCACAGTTGAAACGAATGAGATTATGAAAACCGCCGCACACCGGCCTGAGTCATGATGCTGACTAATCACGAATGAAGCAAGACTGCGTCTTTTGTCCTCATGTCCTGATGCTTGTCTTGACGCAGTTGGTGTGCGGCCGCCCTTAGACTCTCATTCGGAAGGTTCTCGGTTCCAGTCTCAGCCCAGATATCTCGTATGCTGATTTTCGTGGTTTTATTCAAATTTTCCAAGGAAATGAGCTGTAGCGCCCAGTAATCTGGAGATCGTTACGTTACAGAGTTACTAGATCTTGTTCTTAACATGAGATGGGATCTCCAGAATTCCATACCAAGCTCTCACTGAACACACAGGGCGTTTCTTTCGTAAGGGTTCCTACTCGAGAGGTGACGTACCCTTGAGGAAGTTTCTACAAATTACCGCATGAAGAGTAAGATTTTCTGGGTTGTAACGCCGTGTACAGAGATGAACGTTTCGAAAGAACATATCGCCTCCATCTTCAAGGTCGAAGAGTAAGCTACGCGAAAAAGAATCTTACCGCTTACTGGTTTCTTGCTTGGCTTAACTTTTTTTACCCCGAAGATGGAGGCGATAAGTTCCTTCGAAGCGTTGACCTCTCTCCGAACTACACCGTGTTACAACGCAGAAGACCGCATTCATCATTGCTACCGCCATAAAAACCCATAAATCCAACAAAAATTTCCACACGATTTAATACTCAGTAAGTGGAATTTTTCCGGCACCACTGAGTTAACCTGCTCGGTACCGTGTGGCTGAATGTCCATGGAAAACAGTCGCCTTCTGCAGTGTGATTATGTTCTAGACAGATCACCAGCAGCGGTGCAAAGTGTAAACTGCACACAGCTTGAAGTTGCATCGTCACCGAAGCCGTGTGAAATTTCAGGTTTGGTGATACTTGGTTTATGTAATGTTACGTGGTGATCTCTGAATTATCATTAATTGGAAAATGGTTTCGAAGTAAGTGTTGTCATCTGGTTTTATGTAGCAGAGCACCGCATACCTCGATGGGTCGATAAACACCATAGATGATTCAGTTACAATAGCCAGTCTTATACCCTGAAGATGGTGGCGACATATTGCTCCGAATCAGCTGTAAACATGTACCAGAAGAGAACACCGGCGAGTAATATTCATGTGTTGTGACGAATTATAGAACGGCGCGTAACCGTTTCATGGACACTACCGAGTATACTCATTGCTTCAGACAGCCTCATGCCTGTGGCCATCTGAATTATAGTGCTGAATTACTCACCATAACGAGCGCCTTCATACTTTGTTCTCTTTGCCAAATATTATTAAGCTCGTCAAATCACGAAATATGGAATGGGATGGGCGTGTAGCACGAATGGGAAGAAGATAATTGCATAGGAAATGATGGTTGTGAATGGTTAAGGAAAGAAATTAATTGAAAGACCTAATTGTAGATGGGTGGGTGATATTAAAATGAGTCTGAAAGTAGGGTGGGAGTGTATGGACTATATTCATTTGACTCACCATAGAGACAAATGGCAGGCTCTTGTGAACATGCTTATGAACCTTATGAACCTTATGAACCATAGAGTACATGGAATTTGTTGACTAGCTGAGCAACTACAAGCTTCTTGAGAAGGATCCTGCTCTTTGGAAGTATGAGTAATTAAGGCGTGCTGTTATGAACAAGGTAATGAACCATGGGATTCCATAAAATGCAGGCGATTTGTATACTAACTGAGAAACTACTGCCTCAAGAAGGGGTGGTGTCAGTCAGTCAGTCATTCTCCTCAAGATTCACGGAACGTGAGTGAAATGAAATGTGACTGAGTGTACACAGGGTATGTCGGTTATCTGTGAAGTTCTCCAGCCTGTCAGACTGCTTCAACCTCGAGCAGAAATGGCTTTTTCAGAACTGGTTTAGCAGAGCAGCCCCGGGAATACCCAACACATACGGTAATTAGGGCTGGAAATGAGGTTAAATGAGGGGCGACACCGTCTGGTTTGTTTCAGGGAGCTTCATTTTCAGCAAGATATTTCCAGGGCCCCCTCCCCGACCCGTATTTGCGGCCTCCTTTTTAAGCAAGGTTTACCCTGACTCACCCCCCCCCCCCCCCCAAAACACGCAAAGCACACCGCACTTTCGCCCTC